ATATACATGTATTATTGTATTTTTGCATTTGTAAACCACATTCACCTTTCCAGCAAAGCTTTGTTTGAGGAGATCAATAAATATATATATGAATCTTGCTCTATCTTATCCAATCTTATCTTATCGTGTCTAATCTTATTTTATCTTATCTTATCTATATTATCTTGTCTAACCTTATCTTATTTTACCAATATTATCTTATCAAGTCTTATTTTATCTTATCTTATCTTATCATCTAGTCTTACTTTACATTTTCTTATCTTACCTTACCTTACCTTATCTTACCTCATCTTATCTTATTTACCTTACCTTATTTTATTTATTGCATCTCATTTTATTTATCTATTTTGTTTATCATATCTCATTTTATTTATCTTATTGTATTTATTTTATCTCATCTTAATCATCTTATCTTAATTATCTTTTATCTCATTTTATTTATCTTATCTTATCAACGACAATTTCCGTCCCGTGTTCTCAGAGATGCACACAATGCAGCTGTACGTGGTGGTGGAGGAGGTAGATGCTCTGGGCTCCGGCCACGGGGAGCCCCAGTTCTTCACGCTCAGCTGTAGCTGCGAGACCAGCCTCAAGAGTGCCCTGGAGAACTTCCTGGGCGGCGACCTCACGCTGTACCAGATCATGGGGCCGGGCCCATGGGTCACCTGGAACACCGAGGCCAAGGAGCTCAAGGTAATGCTTCCCTTTTTAAAATATTTTTTTGAAACAATTTTTAAAAAAAATTTTAGTAATTAAATTTTTTAAAATTGTTTTAGTAGAGATTTTAAAGTGCTCGCAACTGCATAAGGTCATATGAGCGCCAGAAGATTAGAGGTGTTGCAAGAGAGTAACATACATAAAAAAGAAGAAGGGGAGATACTTACTTTACTTTACTTTTCCGATCCAATGGCCATGTGGGTTCTAGCCCTTCGGTCTGTAGATGGGGAGATAAGGACGATAGATGTTTCATAGGAAAGAAGAAGCAGACCACACCAAAGCACCCGCCAACCACCCACTTGCTTTTTGTTTGTACTTTTCTTTTAGTTGTCCTCCACCGGGACTGTGAAGTATTAGCTTATCTGATCTTATTTTATGTGTGTCTTATCTGATCTTATTTTATGTGTGTCTTATCTGATCTTATTTTATCTGTGTCTTATCTGATCTTATTTTATCTGTGTCTTATCTGATCTTATTTTGTGTGTGTCTTATCTGATCTTATTTTATCTGTGTCTTATCTGATCGTATTTTATCTGTGTCTTATCTGATCTTATTTTATGTGTGTCTTATCTGATCTTATTTTATCTGTGTCTTTTCTGATCTTATTTTATGTGTGTCTTATCTGATCTTATGTTATCTGTGTCTTATCTGATCTTATTTTATATCTGTGTCTTATCTGATCTTATTTTATCTGTGTCTTATCTAATCTTTTTTTTATTTGTGTCTTATCTTGTCTTATTTGATCTTTGTCTTATTGTATCATCCTATTTTGTTTATAGTCTTGATAAGGGTGTAAAACATATACCAGTTGGTGGTAGACGGGTGCTCAAGTGTGTTTTGCTCCTTCTTTCCTATCAAACATCTATCGTCCTTATCTCCCATTCTTCTTTTTTATGTTTGTTACTCTCTTGAAACACCTCTAATCTTCTGGCGCTCATATGACGTTATGCAGTTGCAAACACCGAAAAACCTCTACTAAAACTAAACTAAAAACCTTAGTTAAACGAGCAAAAACCCTTAGTAAAACCAGCAAACACCTTAGTAAAAACCCTTAGTAAAACCAGCAAAAACCTTAGTTTTAAGGGGCAAAAAATCTTAGTAAAACGAGCAAAAAACCTTAGTAAAAAACAGTTCTTCTTGCCACTCCTCAGGGCCAGCAGCTTACTCTCCGGAGGTTCCCGAGTCCTCAGCCGCACGCCCGAGCTCAAGTCTACGGACCGTCCTCCGAGATCCGCCGCTTACCGACCATGCCTCAGAACATCAGAGGTCTCGACTCCAACTACGACACACATCAGGTACAGTAGCCCCGCCACGATCTTCACTTTTCCCCCTTTCTGTTACCTTACTGTGTCGAGAGAAGAAGCAAACATTTTGTCTGCCTTTTGTTTGTTGTATCGCTTGTTACATGGTTCGTTCATTTTTCTCTACTTTTTCTTTAACCTATCCGTCTTTTCCTGAGCCTGCCTCTTCCCCTGTGTCCATCTATCTCTGGCTATATTATTCTCTCGCTGCTAAACTGTTTGATGGTGAAAGTAAAGTTTTTCCCGTGAGTGTTTTATGGCGGTCGCAACAGCAAAAGGTCATATGAGCGCGCGTGACACATTAAATGTTTCAGTTTGGTAGGAAATTTTGAATTTTGCCCAGGAGGCATCTGAAGCCTACTCTTATCGAGTTTGGACCACAAAGGGATCTTTAACATTCGCACCTTGCACTCTGGACATCCGGGATTTTTTGCCCTTATCCTAAAAGGTTAAGTGTTAGATCTTACCTGCCATAAGATCAGGGGTGTGACTGAAAAAAAGCAGTAAGAAGGAGCAAAGGAGTAGTAGCAGAAAAGCTGCAGAAAGAGTCAGGGCAAAGGAGGTGAGAGGGTAGGGGCAGAAAGTGGAGACGAAAGCAGACAACAGAATATTGTTAGAGAGTAGGAAAGGCGGTGAAAGGAGAACATTTTGGAACAGAAAATTTTCCATCACATTCCAGATTCGAGCGCGGGACCTATTGAATGAGACGTGAACACCAGGACCTCTCGACTAAGAGAGCCCCCTTTGCGTCTCTTTGTGCTTGCAGTTTTTAAATAATAATAATACTAATAATTACATTTATACCGAACGTATAATTTATGCATGCTCTACAACATGCTGTATACGCTCTGCTACTTTGATTACCCTGGAAAACCACAGAATTCTCAGAAAGATTCTCAGCTTCCTGCGAAAAATACAGTACAAGCTGCAGATTAAATACGCTAAAACACTTTTAAAAACTGACACAATCTTTTGCTGTCTAGAGCCGGGTTCCCATTCCCACCTGGGTGAAGTGAGCGAAAGCTCATGTAAAGTGCGCTTCTTGAGGCCCCTGATGGAATTTGAACCTTCAACCTTACGATTAAGTCCAAGAGCCTGACCACTAGACTACAAAACTCCGCAATGTACATCCAATGGTTGACTTTTACTTAACCCTTCCAGCCCCAAGCGCGTATATTTTCAGCAGAGCTTTACCTCCCACCATCCCAAGAGCATATATTCTCAGTTTCGGGGGGTACCAAATTTGCTTATTTTTCTAAATTAGCGAACCTAATTAAACTCTAATTTTCATAATATTCGTTCATTTACCTTTGAACACTGTTCTATGTTTTTACCTAAATCTCATTACAAAGATACTAGATCACTTTTTAGAATGCATGCCAGTTTCTCTGAAATACCGCTGTGTTGGCTGGGACTGGGGTAAGGAAGGGCACACAAATGGCTGGGGCTGGAAGGGTTAATAAATAATAAATAGCATTTAATTTGTATAGCACACAGGGGCGTGGCGTCACTTCCAGTGAAGGTGACGCTAAGAACAAATTTATGCACAACGAATAGATCTAGATCTAGTATTGCCTACTTGTTACAGGCCTGTAAACTGTAGACCTACTATTTACGCCTCTTCGTTTCATTTTAATACTTTAATACTGATACAGGGCCACCTACTTCCATTCATGAAGAATAGATAAGTGCCGGTACAATCTTTTATATAGAGAGAGAGATCTGCTGATGATAAAGAACCAAGTTTGGCACTTAAGATGCGCACAATCACATCACATCACAATCACACACTAAACAATAACTTCCCACAGATCAACAGAAAAGCACAAATTCACAGTCAAGACGCGCATGCACTATTGCCCTCCGAGCGTCTTGACATAATGACCCCATTCCCTGATTCACTTGCAGTTCTGGTTTCCAGAAAGCAGACAATAAAACCTATTTTTAGATAGTTCGCAACCTTGCCATGTCCAGGCTGACTACCACTCCATCCCCTCTCTACCATATAGGCGCCAAATCCATCTTGGCCCTTTGGCCCAACAGTACAATCTCTTAGTGTGATGGGAGTACCTGCTGTAGCAATTTTGGCTGAGTAATGTTCTTGGTGATATCTCTTGTGTCTTCCGTCAAATGTCTGGATGGAGTATGAAAGAAACTTTTTTAGCTATTCTTGGAAAGAAAACCCTGTTTTCAACTGATTGAATCAAATAATTTAAGGATCATTTTGAATTATTTTGACCAGAATTCACACCTAAACAATGAACACCGAGATGGGTTCAGGCAGAGACACTGATTCAGGTAGCGCTGATCTGGGTTCGGCGCCCTCAGTGACGTCATACGTAGGGAACGAAAGACGCGGGGAGACCTAGGCCAAGGGGGAGACCCTTGCGACCGGCAACGGGAAGCTTACCCGCCCTCCTCCCACTAGCCTAACTATAGACACCTTAACTAAAGACTGGCGCACTTAGGGATGAACACTGAATAAGAGATTTATTTGAAAAAAATATTGTGATATTTTGTTAAGCCTTGGAAAATCGTATTCCCTTTTTTGAAAATTTCAAAAGGTGGTGCCATGGCGTCATTTGCGCTTGGAGAGCCACGCCACTGATAGCACATGTCCCCACTTAAAAGCAAGCTCTGTGCGCTTTACACTATATTATTACCCCAGCAGACCATAGAACACTCCGAGACATTCTCAGCTTCCCAGGAAGCATACAGTGCAAGCAGCTGGTTAAGCGCTCAAACACCAACAAACGGACAAGATCTTTCACTGTCTATAGCTGGGTACCCATTCCCACCTGGGTGAGGTGGGGAAAATTCGTGTTAAGTGCCTTTCCCAAGGACACAACGTCGAGTCCCTGACAGGATTTGAACCCACAACCTTACGGTTGCGAGTCTGAGAGCCTAACCACTAGGCCACCGTGCCACTTTTCTGCTCCTATTTAACCTGAGTGCATAAAACAAACACCAAACTGATGAGAAAAAACGGAATGCTTCAAACAATCAATGCTGTTTGATCTTATAGGTAACAAGGGCTGGCTAGGGTTTGGTAGAGTTTTAATAAATAAAATAATAATATATCATAAACTGGTTATACCTCCCAAAAGCTTCAAAATTACAGAATTTGTTACCATCTTTTCATTCATTTATTTTATGAGTGCTTTTACCCCTGAGCCTGGGTAATGTAATTTTTCCAGGATTTTGTTTCGCTGCAAAGATTCTAATGTGTTGTAATTTTTTTATTTTTTCACAGCCCTCCAAAATTTGGGAGCCAAAAATGAAAATAACTACATCATCCGATTCCATTTCGTCATACAGTGATAACAATTTGATAGACAGCGACTTATCATCTCCGGAAGGTATCCCTGAGCTGAAGCCCCAACAAGAAGTACCCATGGCCGGTTATCCCGCACCGTCTTTCTCCACCCTGACTCTCTCCGTACAAGAAAGTCAGGCCGCCCTGGAAGAGACGCACCCCAAAGTTCCCTGCTCCGACAACTTGACAGGAGATGACACCCAGCCCAAAGTGCTGTACCAGAGTGACTCCGACGCAATGCAGTCACCGTCAAACTGGGATCCGGAAAAGCCGGTCCCGTCTTCGAAAACTGTCATTAACGACGTAGAGAGTAGCTGCTCTGACCGGGACACAGGCCTTCCCGAAGGAAATCTGCCTGCGTTAAGCCTCCTGCGACCTAGTTTCATCTCCACAGACACTAATAGGAACGGAACCTCGGGGCCGAGTGGGGACTGGAATATGGGGTCGGAAGCTGCGCAGCTCATGAAGCAGAATGATCTAGGTCGTGAGCAAACCTCCCAGTGTGTGCAGGCTATAAGTAAAAATTACTTTGATTCAAAGGTGGAGGCGAGTCAGTGTATGCCCCCAGGACTTATGGATTTTGATGATGGAAGTCGGAGTTCTATGGATACGAATGACGACTCGCTTAAACCTGAGAACAATTCCGGTGGTGTAGAGGACTGCGGTGTTCCTCCTTCTGGGACTAATGTTCTGAGTGACCCCATTCCCAGACACAACAACAATATGGCACACTGTGTGGGTATTTCTGCTCAAGAGCAGACAGGAGAATACGTAGCCCACAGTATGATTCCCACTTTAGTGACCACGGAAAAAGACAACAGCGGAGTGAAGAGGAACAACCTCCAGTCCCCGTACAGCAGCCCGACAGCCGTGCGGACAAAACGGCACTGCCCGGTGGCGCCACCTTCTGCTTCAGAAGCCAGTGTCAGTGTCGCTCAGCACTTGTCCGCTTTGGCTAATGCCCCTGAATCCTTCAACCCCGCACCTTCTCAGCCTGACGGACCAAATGTAACTAAACCTTCTGTGAAGTCAAGTGTAGCGCCGTCTGGAGGATCGGCCACGTCCGGTCAGAGCCCCATGCCTCAGGTCCCAGAGCGTCCTCGGCCGTGCCCCCCGCAGACTGACCACAACGTCCACTACGAGAATCAGGAGCAGATAGATTTGCAAATTGCTCAGTCTCAGCAACTGTCCCGAGCGTCTCCACCCATGAGCGTCTCAGTCTCTATGCAGATGCACAAACTTGACGGGAGCGGAGACATGCGAGAGTACAACCACCCGCTGATGTGCCACACACCACCGCCTCCTTTCTCCGAAGAAGTCTCCAAGCGGGATCGCTCGTCTTCAGAACCGCCGTCTGTCATGGAAAGAGACTCAGCCAAAATCAAGGCGATGATTGACTCAGACACGCCCACTGCACGACCATCGCCCGCCGAGCCGCGTTACGGTAATACCGACGTGTTCTTTGATGACGATATTGCTGTGATGACGGAAACTCGGATGTTTGTGGGCACACAGCAGCCCTCGGGCTCCGGACACGTGCAAGGAGGCCCCGAATACATGGCCATGTCCGTACCTGCCCCAACGGCGGGTCACAGAACACAGACAGGCACACCTCCTCCCCCATCAGTCCCGCCCCCACCACTCCCAGCTCAACAGCCTTGGCTGGTACGACAGAATGCTGTAGCACCAGGCCCTGCTGTTCGCCCCCCGTTCCCCCACATCCGTGCGCCGGTCACTCACGCCTCAGACCTGTACATCACCCCGGTCGACTCTGTGCAGACGTACACCCGACCACCGCTGACCCGATCTCAGACTGACTCTGGACCGGGCGACTTGAACGGTCACTACGTCTACGACGAGCCCATCCCGGAGGAGGAAGAACGTCGTCTTAACTACCCCGGTACTGCTCACGCGTCAAGGTCAATGTCGATGCCAGTCATCCTAAATCCTGGTCAAGCACCGCCGCCACCTCCCAGAATTCCCAGTCTAGAAGGTCAACTGAGCCAGATACCTGGATGGAGTCCTGATGTGAATGGCAGCAATGTAAGGACAACTGTAATATATATCTATGTTAATTAATGGCAGCAATGTAAGGACAACTCTAGTAATATGTGAGGCATGCTGGTGAAATCAGGCGCTCATCAAAGTAATGGAATTGAAGAAGTCGGCATTTTTCTGCCGCTTAGGCAATTTTTATTGAATTTTTTTTTAAATCGGCTTACCCCTTTTATGTTCTTTTAAAAACACATTTCTGTGTGCATTTTCTTGAAAAATGCTGATTAAAGGCACAAATATTGTACATTTTCAGTTTCCAAGGACTCTCAAACTTTGGAAGTCATCAAACTTTGCTAGCCAATTTCTCACCAATTTTACCTCTGAAAATATGATAGTAAATATTCCCATGTTTGTGTGTTGGCCTTGTACAGATTCAAACGACAATGAGGAACTACCAGGGAGAGGACGGGAACTTCATCGTGTGGAGAAGCAGACGCTACAACCAGTTTGTCATCACCGTCAGGTGAGTTCCCAGCTTTAGTTTGTCATCACCGTCAGGTGAGTTCTTCTCCCAGCTTTAGTTTGTCATCACCGTCAGGTGAGTTCTTCTCCCAGATTTAGTTTGTCATCACCGTCAGGTGAGTTCCCAGATTTAGTTTGTTATCACGGTCAGGTGAGTTCTTCTCCCAGCTTTGCCCAGATTGGCTTTGCTGCTCTAAGACTAAGACAGTGCTTGCTAATCTGGGCGGTATTTAGTTTAGTTTTAGTAGAGGTTGTACGGCGCTCGCAACTGAATAAGGTCATATGAGCGCCAGAAGATTAGAGGTGTTACAAGAGAGTAGCAAACATAAAAAAGAAGAAAGAGAGATAGGGACGATAGTTGATTGATAGGAAAGAAGAAGCAAACCACACCAGAGTACCCGCCAACCACCCACTGGGCGGTATTGCTCACTCTAGATGCTAAAGGTCATTTAAAAATCATGATAAGAAAAATAGATAATAAAAGAGATATCTGTATATATATGTATTAATAATAATATATCATAATATGTTTCCTGTTAAGCATAAGTGGATATGCTCTATATAAATGCAATCCATTGTTATTATTATTATTATTAAAAACTTTGTTTTCTCACTTCTTTTTAAGTCTTAGGGTCTTGAGAAATATGTGAGGCAGCATGGTGGAATCAGGCTCTCGTCAGTTTTTGGGCATGTAGAGTTATTGGTATCATCTTAAAGCTTGTTCACTTGTCTTTATTTGGATGAAAAAAATATCCATTTTCTAGAATACAAGTCGAGATATTTGCGAATGAAGGAGGTGGGGTCACCTGTTTTCAGAGGGAAAATTAGTGAGAAAATGGCCACCAAAGATTAGTTATTTCCTTTGCTTAAGAGTCAGTGGTAACTGAAAATTTACATTTTTGTGCCTTTTATCAACGTTTTTAAGAAAAATCCACACAGAAATGAGTTCTTTAATGGGCATGAAAGGTGATGAGCCAAAAACAAAAATTTGATAAAAATCCACAAACCTGCGGAAAAATGCACGTTTCTTCCCTTTGATTATTTTGACGAGAGCCTGATTCCACCACGCTGCCTCAAATATAGATATCTCAGGGGGCTCCAGTGGCGAAGTGAGTAGTGAGTTTAGACGCAATAGTAAAGTCAAGCAAGTGTCGATGACACGAGGATCAGATGGGTGGTCACTGGGGTGTGTCCTTAAGCAAGACACGACAGCCCTAGCTGAAAAAAACAGTGCACGGCACAGTGGCGATCAGCATTGGCATGGTTGTGAAATTGTTCTATATTGGTGTAATATTGTGTATTTATGTATGTTAATTATATGTTATATTATTTATGTACATTTGTGTTTATAATTAAGTATGTCATGTATGTATATTTGCCATTATAAACTAAATCACCCTTCTGGAATCAATAAAAATGTAATTTATTTAATGATTAATTGTTTCACGACACGGTGGAATCAGGCGTTCAGCAGTTTTTTAGCATGTGGAGTTATTAGTATCAGCAGAAAGCCTATTCATTTGCGTCGCTTTTGCTTAAAAAAATACACATCTATCTTAAATAGAAGTCTAGATATTTGTGATTGAAGGAGGTGGGGGTTGCCTGGTTTCAGAGGTAAAATTGGGGAGAAAATGGCTGCGAAAGTTTGGTAACTTTTATAGCTTGAGAATCCTTGGAAACTGAAAATCTACATATTTTATGCCTTTAATAATTGTTTTTGAATCAAATTCACTTGGAAATGTGTTTTTATATGGGCATGAAAGTTGTTGAGCCAAAAAAACAAAAATTCGATAAAATGGACAAACTGGCGCAAAAATGCCTGTTTAAATTCTTCGATTCCATTATTTTGGCGAGGAGCGCCTGATTTCACCACGATGCCTCACAATTTATGTTTCTCTAAGAATGTTTTGTTTCCGTCTCCCTCTGCGCCCACAGCCACCTGCGTGAACTCGTGCACTACTTTGTGCTGGAGGAGCGGCTGCCCAACCACAGGACCGTCTACTTCCTGTACCGCGGCGGCTTCCGCTCCGAGAGCTTCCTCGATCTTGTCCGCCACTACATCGCCCACGGCATGCGCATGCCCGTGTCGCCAGATAGGACGTCCGGGGGCACCAAGTACTACATGGACCACGTCAGGCTGAGGCGCCCGTTGATTGTTCGCGTACAGCCTCGGGGGCAGGGCAAGGGAAACTCGAAACGATAACTGTAACGTAATAGACGATTGTTATTTTTGGTGTCTTTACAGAACAGACGATTGTTATTTTTGGTGTCTTTATGGGAAACTCTGAACGATAACTGTAGTGAAATAGACAATTGTTATTTTTGGTATGTTTACAGAAGACTCCAGACTATAAATAATGTAATAGGCGATTGATATTTTTTGTGTCTTTACAGAAGACTCCAGACTATAAATAATGTAATAGGCGATTGATATTTTTGGTATGTTTACAGAACCCTTCAGATGATAACTGTAATGTAATAGATGATTGTTATTTTTGGTGTCTTTACGGGAAACTCACTTTTTTTCGCTGTAACGTAGCGATGAAGTACAGAACTCGGCTGTTGCTACATCTAGAAGATAGATGCATACATTGCCGTGTTGTAGTTACTTTGATGTGTTATTATAATACGTTGATATTACACCTCCTAGATATCAGAGAGTGGCAAAACTGAAACAATAATTGGTTACTTTGTTACTGATGGCTCTTTCTTTACGGTGAATGAGTTGGGGGGGTTTTTTGGCTCTCATTGGTTGAAAATGGGGAGGCAATGATCAAGTACTTTCGAGCATCTTACTTCAGTGGAAAAGGCTTTTGACTCGCCGTCGAGAGATCGTGGGTTCGATTCCCTGGTACCCTTGCTGGTTGAACGATGTATCTTAAGGAAAGATTCTGCTTGCACCTTTTTTTCGTCAGTGCACCCAGACACAGCTTGTTTAACCCTATCTGTACGCCCTGGGGTCATTTTGTTCCCCCGGAGTTGTATTCTTCACATTATAGAATACTTCTAGAGTGAAGATCTCTTTGAAACGATCAGTAGTTCTTTAAAAATCATTTTGACAGACTGCTATGCAAAGCGTACGGATCGGATTACCGAGTAAATTTCCTCTTTGGAAAGTGGTAGCACAGAGTTCCCCACGTCTTATGGATACGATAGTAAACATGACGTACGGATAGGATTGAGTGAATGATAAGGATGGATTCTTTTATGGATGACGAAGTCGCAATGTACGGCGAGTCAATACAATGCACCAACCACACTTACTGGGAAGATATTAAGGCAATGGTAACTCTGACAAGAAGTAGGAAAAAAAAGATGGCTCCACGGTGCCCTCAATCAAACTGTTGTCTTAATTTTTTTCGACAGAGATTTAACAAAGTACATTATCTTGCCTTGCCTTATATCAATATAATTATACTCCTAACTGACAACAAATGCCTTATGTTTCATGCAGGATGAATTGCTTAGTGAATTTCCACATATTTTTGTAAACTGAGATATTCCAGTTATTATTTCAACTATTTGTATGGCTTTCTGTTCCTCTATGGGGACAGTATTCTGTCAAGATATTCAATACTTATATTCGAATATAAGTATCGAATATCATGACATATTCGACATGACCATGTATGATATTGTTCTGAAATACGTTGTCTAGACATTTTTAACGTTACGTTGTCTAGACTTAAAATTGTAACATGACATAGAAACCTGGCTTGGAATCAAAACAGCTCAGGCTAGCGCAATGGCAGGAGACAGAGTGTTTTATAGCAGTAAAGTACAAAAAACGATGTCCAACGAATACTGGAAATGCCTCAGCCATTTTTGTGCACTCCCTAACCCCAGTCCCTGCCAATACAGCAGTATTTCAGAAAAAGAGACATGCAATCCAAAAAAATGAAGTAGTATCTTTGTAAAGAGGTTTAGATAATAAAATATAACAATGTTTAAAGGTAAATGAACAAATATTATGAAAATTACAGTTTAATAAGGTTCGCTAGTTTTGAAAAAAGCGCAAATTCAGTACCCCCGAAACTGAGAATATTCGCTCGTGGGACGTTGGGAGGTACAGGCGCTGCTGAAAATATGCGTGCTTGGGGGTGGAAGGGTTAAAAGAAGAAGATAAAGACAAAGATATGAACTGGTTTCTCACTTTTGTAAAAGCAATGTCCCAAAGTACGGAATGACTGATAGAGAGTTTTTCTAGTGGCGTGTTATCATCAGGGGAAGAACATTTGGATTTTTCATGAATTGCAAAGAACGACTTTAGAAATGTTTTCTGGTAAGTTTTTCCTGTGTTCAACAATTTTTATTTTTCAAGCAATGCTGTCTGTAAGCATTCACCCCTAGTTTGCTCAACCCTGGACATTATATATATAAGCCTATTCTGAAAATGCACTGCTTTTTTTTTTTCAGGCTTATTTTTCTCATGCGCATAGATGTAAATATTGTACATGATGCTTGTATGCTCTTTCTGATATTTTATGATATTGATATATATATATATTTACTGCTTTATTTATGTGACTGGTGGAGGAGACCCGATCTCGTGTAGATATTTTTTTTTGGGGGGGGGGGGGGGGGGGGGGGGGGGTGGAGGGAGGCAAATGCGGTCAAAGTCTCCAATAATGAAAAAAGATAAAGAATACTCATCTGATTTCTCTTTCTCTCTCTCTCTTTGTTCCTGTCTCTCTGCCTCTCTCTGTTCCTCTCTCTCTCTCTCTTTCTCTCTTTCTCTCTGTCTCTCTCTCTGTCTGTGTGTGTGTGTGTGTGTGTGTGTGTATGTGTGGTATGTGTGTGTAGTGTGTGTGTGTGTGTGTGTGTGTGTATGTATGTGTGTAAGTGTGTAAATGCAGGTATGTGTGTTACCGGGATGTGGCAATATATGAGAGCATCGCAGAAATTCTCTCTGTTGATTTCTTGTTATGTTCTTATTTAAAATTGTGGTTTAAGCATGAACAGGCCAAAACGAACATTCAGCGAAACACAACTTTAAAAAAAGAATTCCATTTAGAAATGTTTCGTTGTAGAACATGATTCCCTTCACTGTCTTATATACTGAGAACTCTAGAAAAGAAACAAGTCTTTAAGTGTAGAATTTTTTTCCCTCTTTCCTGAAAAACAATAATAAAACAATTTCCCATTGTAGGCCGCTTTGTAGCTGACAACTTAGTAATATCAGACTAACAAATGTAACAGTAACTTGACTTAAACCATTTTATTAGTATACAATTAATACAATGCCTAAAATAAAGGTTTGTGCATGCAGTGTTTTTGCTCAAGTTCATTAATTTGTCCTTCATATAAAATTGTGTTTCTTTTTCTCAGTACGTCAGAAATGCCTTCATTGTAGGATAAATGAGTCAGTTTAATCACAGGTGGAAGATGCAGACTTCTTACCTTTAGTTTGAGCGACATTTTGCTGGGTCTCTTACCGCTTACAGTACCGTCCGTGACTTTATTCGCCAGCCCGTAGTATGCGCTCACTACCGCTGGCGACTTTTTACTTTTAATGTCGCCAACGCAACCAGGCACACTAAACATAATAAAACAACGATTGAACGCAGGGCACTGAAGTTGTTGTTGTTGTTGTTTTCAAATTCCTTTAGCTGTGAGCATTTTGCTCTTGGCAGCGCACTGCACTGAAGTAAATATCACAGGAAGTCACTCTATACGATAGCTGAACGGTTGATGAACCTCTCTGAATTTTTAAATCGTGTTTCTTAGGCTGCCAAGGTTTATCTAATTTTTAAAAAATTCTACCACAGCTTCAGCATTCTTTACTGGTGCGATAGGCCTACCCAAGGGTTTTTCACTGTATGAGCCTTTGATACTTAAAGTGTAAAATTTTATTTTTAGTTTTTGGTCTTTTTTTATTTCACTGTTGTAATTGTAGGAGGACTAGAGGTGGGGGGGTCCTTTATTTTTTTTAGCCGTAGACGTGACTTGATTAAATATAGCTTACTTTTTTAACGTACTCAGTTATTTAAGAAGCGGTATATATAAATGTCTGATGTAACTTTCCTCTCCTACAGGACCAAGACAATTTTCTATTCCCTCGATTTATGTTTAGACTCAGAAGGTCCAGTGATGTAGATTTACTATTGGTGAAGGCTTTTTGCTAAAACCATATGGGTATTGTAAATTCTGTGATATATTTTTATCAAATGCTCTTTGGAACATTTATTTATTTGTATATGTAAACCTAACATAGAGAAATGTCTCTTGAAATCTCAAATTCCTTTCTAATGAAACATGTTCATTTAAGTTTCGTAGTTAGAATTTTTGGTTTCAATCTTAGACTATTATTTGCAGTTTGAATATAATTTATTTAATAATAACTTATGGTCGTTGTCAGAAATTGAAGGATAGTTATTTAAAAAATCTAAAATTATGCAAACTGAGCCCAAAAATGTAAAATTATGCGGTTCTGTTAATCTTAACAAAGAATGATAAAGGAAGATAATCAGAAATTATGCAAAAAATATTCAGATTTTGCTAAATTATGCGGGTTGCATAAAACCTCGGGGACAGATTCTTACTATTGTTTCTTCCAATGGAGCTGTGGCTCACTTTCAAATGTTGACATAATGATTCGGTTTACACAGAGTTGGATCAGGTGTCAATGAGTGCTTTGCTCGTTCTATTTTTGCGGACCGCAAAATGTCAAAAGTGGAAGCAAGGACAATAATAATGATGACGAAAAACATAATTACAATACATACAATGACATGACATGCCAATAACATAATAAAAATGTGATTTTAAAAAAGTAACAATGATGATAATATAATTATAATGATAGCAATACAATATGAAAATTGCTGTTATTATTATTATTATGCTGATGAACATTAGTTTGGTTGGGGGGTTTTTACTTAAATATAATGTTTTTTGCATCATACCTTACAGTTATGTTTTATCGAATGATTTTTTTCTTCACCATCAGCGTAGTAAACTTTCTTACTCATTTTTACATCACTAGAGATTTTTCTAAAGCTTTAGTTATGAATTTTACGGCACTTGCAACACAATAAGGTCATATAAGTGCCGAAGATTAGAGGTGCTACAAGAGAGTAACATACATAAAAAAAGGAGGAGAGATCAGGACGATAGATGTTTGATAGGAAGGAAGGAGCAAATCACTCAGCACGGTTCATGACAAAATCAAGTTCAAATTGCAAACATCAACTTGATATCGCTCATTTTGTGTTTTAAAAAAGTAAGAATGATGGACAGAAACAGCGAACGGATAGAAATGAATAAAGTAAGACCGATGAACAGAAGAATGATGGACAGAAACAGTGAACGGATAGAAATGAATAAAGTAAGACCGATGAACAGAAGAAAGATGGACAGGTGAGAAACAGCTAAAACACGATTACGAGTCCGGTAGCCTCACCCCTAGGCTACTGACGCCACAGTACCTTCTTGTTTCCTTCAAAAGTGACATTGTTTTTGTACACAGTTGCCTTTTACTTTTTAAAACATTTTTTTATATCTCTCTTCAACAAGATCTTATGCTGCTCTTTTGCGCAAACCATTGATATTTATAAAAGATGAAATTGTTGTGTTGTAATGTGTTATTGTGCCAAGTTGACAAATAAATGAACCAATACATCGTGAATTTGAGCTTCATGCGTGGAGTTCTGTTTTCTTTGATTGAATGATGTACGGTGACTGTCGTATGAGACTGATTCTTATTCCAGTGTTTGTGTGTGTATGTATGTGCATGTGTTTATGTATTTTTGTGTGTGTGCATTTGCATGTGTTTTTAGTTTGAGTAAGTGTTTCAGGGCACTTCCAACACCATAAGGTCATATAAGTGCTGAAGATTAGAGGTGTTACAAGAGAGTAACAAACATAAAAAAGAAGGAGGGGAGATCAGGACAATAGATGTTTGATAGGAAAGAAGGAGCAAACCACACCAGAGCACCCGCCAACCACCCATATTTGCATGTGTATGTGTGTGTGCACGTGTGTGTATTTGTGTGTGTGTGTGTG